ACGCCACATTGCCGCGCGTAATCCCGAACTCCTTGTTTTCCGGCCAATCACCTAGCCGAAGCCCACCCCTGACGTTTACCCACACGCGATGACCTCTACGACAGATCGCCCCTTCGTCTCACAGGAGCAGCTGCAGTGTGCACTCTTCTTTCTGCGTCTTGCGGCTGCTGCTGAAGTTGTACTCCGATACGTCATCACCACCGTGCTCATCCAATCTCCCGATGAAACTTCCCCGCAATTCTTGCCTACCTTGCCACTGTACGATTCAATCCCGCGCCACAAACCCCGGATTTCCTTCGTTCAATCTTACACTTTCGACGGTACGGCCAGTGCTGGAAACTATTCCGCCCAGTGCTGGGACCGCCCACCACGGCGGGAAAAAAACCGCGGGCATTTTCCCGAGGTCTACCCTGAAGAAAACCAACCGGCGCCGTGCCCGGTGTGCCCTGTGTCTGTTTCTCATGTTTCTCCACGCACCACACAATTTATGGTTGTCTGGTTCCCTCCCCTCTCCTGCTGCTACCTTTTTCAATAAAGTCAATCGATTTGTGGTTGAGGTTCCCGCGTATTCGCGAATTAATGTCACCATCCAGGACATCCACATCCAGGACATTCACGGTTGGTTCAAGCAAGGTGCTCTGATTTGAATAACATCATTTCCCAGCAAGGTACATATGTATCTCCCCGCAGCCCCAAGTTCATCGAGTGCTGTTGTTGACGTGTACGTGCGCAGAGGTTGGCGTCCCCAGAGATGCATCGATCAGCAGCGTAGAGTAACCCCTGGTATCGTTTGTAATATATTGGTTTGAGTGTGAGGGGGAGCGACTCCCTGCATTGCGCATCAGTTCCATTTGCAGGAAAAAGCGGCTCACAGCTAGGTACGATTGGACGCATGAAAGGGTGGCGCTACTGTAGCAGTTTGTCTCCCTCTTATTACAACGTGCACGATTGCACGCAAGAGGGTGGTACTAGCAGGTCACCTCCTCGCTCGATAGACAGTATTGACAAGTTGTAGGGCCCAGCCGCGAACACTCCGGTTTTGAGGGGAAGAATGTACAGAAGAAACCACGGGAACAAGGGAAATTCGATGCCCTGGAACAGGGCGAGGTAATAAAGACTTTGTCCAGAGTATGGTACTACTTTTGCATGCGGTTCAGGCTCATCAGGCTACCTACCGTAAATCACCGGAATCTTCCGTCCGGGAGGGGATTTTCTAAAGGCACCCCCCCCTGGTCCGGTGAGAACCCGGCGTGCTCCGTCCCGGCTTTGTAGGG